GATCCCATCTCAAAAAATGAAATTAAAAACAAACCAGATGTTTAGCCAAATTCTCTGCATGTAACTGAAATAATGCTTGAACTCCATGTGTAGGAAATAAATATTCTTAAGCCCCAAACATACTGGTATCAAGAAAACCAAGACCTACTGAGCACAGAAGCTGAGAAACCATTCTCTGAGCAAAGATTTCCTTTCCTAGCAGGTATATTAAATAAGAAGAACTTGGCAGGAAATAAAGAGGATGGTCATGTTGCTTAGCCATAGTGGAATTATGGTCCAGAACACTAGAACAAGGACTAAGTGGCCAAGTTTGACAGGATTAACAGTTCTTTAGAAGGAGCATTTATCCTTTATTAAATGAATGGGCCCTCTTCTTGAGAAACTGGGCAAGAAGACAAGTGTGGTGCCTGTAACTTGAAGTGTGGAGGTCATTGAGGTGTTGTTCTTTCCCTCTACAAGTCTAATTCATTATAAAGTCCTGTGATTCAAATTTACAGATATGTGTTACAAGTATACCTAAAGCTTTTCTCTGAATTGTTTGCCTATATATTTTAATCTTTTCTTTCCTGAAATATGATAATAGTTACTGGTTTGCCCCACCTCCTGTTGGCCTGTTTCTCTCCCTCCTCCACAGAATCTCAAGAAGATCTTTCTGAAACACAAATAGGATGATGTCATGATCCTTCAGCTCCACAGGATCCAGCCTAACTCTCTTGCCCCACTTCCCCTGCCCAGCTCTCCATCTTTGCCTCCATTTGCCTGCTTGTAGCTTCCTGTACCTTCCTACCTCTGACTCTGCCTGGAATGTGCTTTTTCCCCTATCCACTGAATGAACCCTTGTTGGGAACCCTAGACAAATGTCTTCTCCTCTGTTGAACCTTCCCAGCCTCCCCACAATTCCACCAGTAGAATGAGCCTTCTCAGCCATCCCTGGAGTACCCTTGACCACTGTGCTTTGCATACTAGGTTTCTGGATCTGCTGCTGCTAAGGGAGTCCATAGTTTAGCTCTGCAGAGTCACCTCCCAGGATGGCAGTAGGCACATATGAGCAATTGATTAATTGTGTGTTGATTACTCTGTTATAGGAGATAGAACTAGAAGGTTGAGGACTTAGTCCACTGAAGGGCAGTGCTGAGAGCATGGCATAGCTTTTATCTTTTATGAGTGTGAACTCACAGTGTTTGCTACACAGGCTTTCTTTTCCTCTGCACTCTGACCCATCAGAGAAACAGTAGACTTATGACGTGAACACCTGCTTCTGGGTCCAGCACTCTGCCTCACCAACACTCTGATGAACAAACCTTTGATTTGTTTACTGTTTTTAATACACTCAGTCACAGATACCTCAAAGCTATGCTCTTACCTTCCACCCTCACCCCAGCTATTTAACCCAACTCCATACTTCTTTGTCCCTAGGTCATTACGAAGCAGCTGATTACCTCATCCAGCTTGAAGCTAGATTTTCTGAAGTCAAATACTATGCCCTTCCTGATACACCACATTGTCCCTCTGCCAGGTTGTGCTTCACCCATAACTGTTGGTGCCATAGCCACCACAGGGGCAGTAGTCATTAGTCATTATTTCCTCCATTCACTACTTCATCCTGTCATCAAACTGTATGTAATTTTACCGTAAGAGCCTCAGTATAATGGGAAAAAATACTTAAAATGGAGTTATTTTAAGGTAGGGAAAATTGCCATGGAAACACAAAGGGGTGCTTGGCAAATGAGGAGTCCAGGAAGCCTTCCAGGAAGAGGTGATATTGCGGCTGGATCTTGACAAGTAAATGAACATCCTCAGGGCAGAGAAGAGCCTTCTAAGTGGAGGAACCAGCAGAACTAAAGGCCTGAGGCTGGGAAAAGGCAGGAGAGTTCTAAGAAGGTGAGGCTTGGTGGGGCTGAAGCTGCTGGATTCTTACTGGCAGGGGAGGGAGATCCCTGTCTCCCAGGGGTTTTCTCCCAAGCCCTGGCTTTGTGGGAACTGCAGGTATCCCGGACCTCCCTCTGGCCCACATGCTGTCCCATGGCTGAGCAAAGTTTCTGGGGCTGGGGCCGTTGGCAGTCCCACCTGCTCTGGCGGGTGGCATCCCAGAAGGAAAGAGGCAGGGGAGGAAGCAGATAAGAAAGACAGCTTCTGTTTAGACACAAATATCTTGGTAATCAGCACAGATGGGATGAGAAATACCAAAAAAAAGTACATGACAGTTTAGAGAGAATTTGGCTAAATGTTACATATTTTTAACATACCTGTGTAGAGTCTTTGGAATAAGCACCTGAGTCCCTCAGGTCCTGACTAGAGATCGGGGGGCCTGCCTCAGTCAAGCAGTGTTTTTGTTTCAGAAATGTTCCCTTCCCCATCCACAAAAGTATCCTTGTGATTTTTTTTTCTTCCACCAAAATAAGGCACAGGATTTGTCTCTGACGCTGTGTCTCCCTATTTGGACGGCAAGCTGTGTAACATATTTCTACCCAGCGTGAAGCTTCTTGGCAGACTCTTGAGGCCACGTTTTGGTGGCTTCAGAGTTATCTTTGGATCTGTCAAAAGTGCTAATGGGCTTTCTGGCCTTCTTTAAGCTCCTCATTTCTATTTTCTTTTTACTTCCATCCTCTCCTAAAAGAAAAATTCATGTAATTCATCAGCAGTTAAGCTTTTGCTAAAATGCTCAGCTGAGGGCCTCATATTTTTATTTGTGAGAAGAGCTCTGCCATGTCACTGTCTTCTGAACAAACCCCATCCTGACATCATTAGCTCAGCGTTCCTCAATCCACCCTTCCAGAGAGACTCTTCTTGTCTAATACAGACTCTCCTGGTGTTTATTTTGTTTTGTTTTCATTGACGGTATTAAGAGTAAGTTGGCGTGGTAGTCAGAATCTGAGTTTTGGATTGAGAAGACCTGGTTTTGAAACTTGATTTTTGTCCTTTCTAACTAGGTGACCTTTCAGAGACAACCAAACCTTCCTGAGCCTCCATTTTCCCATCTGTAAAGTCACATGGTAATGCCTATGTTAGGCTTGTTAGTAAGATTGGAAAGAGCACAGGTAAAGTTCCCATTGCCAGGCACATAATATTACTCAATAAATGGGCAGTGATTTTCAAAAGAAATAAATCTGCCTTTCTTTAGACATACTTAATCTTGCTTTGTTACTGTTTTGAGACTTTCTTTTTCCAAATGCAGTTTTGACCTACAATTTATGGTAAAAAGAAGAGCACAGACTGAATCATGTCTTATCTACTCACTCTTTGACCTTTGTTGAATTATATCACTCCCTCCCTATCTCTCTTTTCTCTTCTTTAAACGGGGAGAATTAACACCTCATTCAAGGAGTGATTTCAACATTAAGTGACATAATATACAAATCCCCATACATGGTAGGTGTAGAGATATACTAAAGAAGGACAAGATAGGAAAGGGGAAAGTGTATAGGCTGTGAATTCAGATCTATTTCCTCATCACTGAATCTCTCCCAGACTTAAATTTCTCTGTTTCTATGTTAGAAAGAGTAATACCTGATTGGAATTTTGTGAGGATTCCATAAGGTTACGCATTCAAAGTGTCTGGTACAGTAACTGGCATTTGGTAAACTACTCAGTATGGGGAGGTAGTAATTCACACTCTATATTTATAAACGTTGATAGTTAACTGAGTACTCCAGTCAAACAATAATAAATCATAAGATAAATAAATGCCCATTCTTATTCCCAACCCATAATATTGTTGAAAAGCACTTTATGCTATTTTACATGTAAAATCTACCTGGTTTACTTCAATTTATGGGCTTTAGATCTTTAATCATTCTTAACTGCAACCCCTGGTAATAGCATTCCTTCCCACCCCAACCCCTTTCATTTGCAGAGGATTATATTGTGCGCATTGAAAACCTGTACCATTTAAGAAATTAGCATATTCATGTGTGTTATTAAAGTCAGGTGGGTACAGAAAGGGTTATAGAAATGAAACACTTTCTATTTTTTCTGAAATCTGAAGCGTACCAATCTATAGTACTAATTAAAGGAACGAAGCCCAGGTTACAGAAAAAGATCTGGTTAAAACAATGCTCTGTCACAACTTGCTATTTGTCTTTAGTTGTTTTTTGTTTTTTTTTCCTTTTGAGTGAAATACTTGGAAATTGTAAATCTTTGAAATTGCTTTAATTCTGGCTAAGCCATTTTAGAGAATGTAAGCTGTGGAGGAGGGGACATGAGCAGTGAGGACAGATGCATGCCTGGCCGTGGCAGCAGCGACCTATTAGACAGAGGCAGGCTCTGCGCCAGAAGAGCTTTAGTCCCTGGGGGAAAGTATGTGTGTAACACTTGGGATTGAACCTTTGCACTGAGCTACATCCCCAGTCCTTTTAATTTTGAGACCTGGTCTTACTAAATTGCCCATCCTGGTCTCCAACTTATGCTCCTCCCACCTTAGACTCTCAGAATGTTGGAATTATAGGCATGCACCACCATCCCCAGCTGAGTACTTATTTTGCTTAGATACATGGTACAGTATGTTGGGAAAGTACTAGGGTTTGGGGGTCTGAAGATATGATCAGCAGTCTTGACTTCATGGCTTTTTAGACCATTTGATCTTGACAAATCTCTCTGAGCCTTGGTTTCTTCATTTGTAAGATTGCAGAATGCCTGTCATTTTTACCTTTCAGAACTGATGTGAAGAGCAGGCACAGTGTTATGCATAACCTCGTGTTGTAAATTAATCACCACACAAAGACACAATTGCTCATACTGCTCATCTTTAAGGATCTTTTCCAACTTTACATTTCTTGACCTTTTTTTTTTTTTTTTTTCTGTTTTTTTTGAGACAAGGTGAGTGCTGGGGTTACCGTGCGCAGCGACATTTCCTGATTTTATTCCTGAGTGGGATTCGGTAAAAATAAAGAAAGGAAGAAGAGAGTATACATTCTCATTATTTTATTTTTCTCATATAGATACTATTTGTAATAAGAATAAGCAAAGTAAGCCACAACCTTGCTTTCTGCTTTCTCCTAGAGAAATCTGACAGAATATTTTGTGGCTGTAGATGTAAACAATATGTTGCATCTGTATGCCAGTATGCTGTATGAGCGCCGGATACTCATCGTCTGCAGCAAACTCAGCACTGTAAGTAGGCCGTCTTGAAGTGGGCTTTTCAGTGACTTAATTTGAATTAAAAGACATACTAACAAAATTAAAGATAATTTTAGGTAAAGGAATCAACCCCAGTCCACTCATGTAGTAGTAGCACATCAATTTCATTGTTATTCATGTTCTTTTACAATGTCAAAGCATATATCTTTTTTTTGTTTTGTTTTGTTTTTTTGGTACTGGGGATTGAACTCGGGTCTTTGCGCTTGCAAGGCAGGCCACCAAACCACTGAGCTAAATCCCCAGCCCTATCATTTATTTTTGTAATTTCATAATTACAGTTTTTCTTTTGATTGTGTGTTATGAACATTGTACATATTTCTACGTAAGCTTTCATTATTGTCAGTTTTTAAATGTCTGTGCCATTACATTATACATCTTTCACTGTTTTTTTCCTCTTGATGGTCATTTGGGTTATCTGTAGGTAAATTCTCTGATAGATAATACCGCAGTAAATATCTTTACTCTTCTTTTGACTGTTTTTTTTTTGTTGTTTGTTTGGGTTTTTTTTGGTACTGGGGATCAAACTCAGGACCTTGCGCTTGCAAGGCAGGTGGCAGAACTACTGAGCTAAAATCCCCAGCCCGTTGACTGTTATTTATAATGCATAATCTAAGGAGTAGGACCACCAGATCAAAGAACCTGGTAAACACTGTGACTGGTCTACCAAATTGCTTCCTCAACAGGCTCTGCTTGTGAAAGTTGCTAGCTGTATAGTCTTTACCACTTTTGCTGCAGCCTTGCCAGAATTGTGTGTGCTAATGCATTTGCTTTAATTTTGCTAATAAAGTGGATGTTAAAATGGTATTTTTGTCTTTCTTTAATTTTAATTTCTTTAGTTAGAGCTAACTGAGTATTTTCCTTGGGTTTGTTTCCAAGATGTATTTTGTTAACATCTTTTTTCACTATCTTGTGGGGTGTGTGTGTGATATTTTTCTTATAAATTAGAATGAGCCTTTATACATTGTAATAACTTTTGCTGTATGTACATTTTCTTACTCTTTAAATTTTTCATCTGCTAAGTATAATTTCTATTTTCCTGAGTATTTTATTATAAAATTTTTCATCATCATAGAAGTAAAAATCATTTTGTGCTGAACATCGATATAGTTCAACTGGATTTTACCAGTAATAATTTACTGCAGTTGCTTTATCACGTATTCATCCATCTACCCATCCTTCACACCATTTAGTAATCCATCTCTTTTTTTCCTTTGGTATGAGGTATTGATCTCATGCATGCTATAGATAAGTCCTCTACCACTGAACTATAACCAAAGTGCTCACCCCCACTTTTCTTTTTTCAATCCTATTTTCTGGTGCATTTCAAAGTAAATCATGGACTGCAGTTCAATATCTGTTTTGCAGGATTTTTTGTTGTTTTAGGCAACACTTGCATACAAAAATTGCCTGGAAGTAGAATGCCTAAAGTGCATCACTTCATTAACGAGAGAGGAGAAACTTTGCATACTGTAGGGGGTTTTCCTAATGAAGGACCTATGTGTTAAATAGTTACGTGTTTACCTGTGAATGAAAGCTACCTTAATATTGAAACTTTCAAGAGAATATTAGAGCTTTCTATATAGTTTTCTTCATAGCTTCATTATTGTATTTTTTGAATTACTGATTGCTTGTCAAGAATTCACAGAGTCCTTTTTGTCTTTTGTATTTACCTGGTATGTGCAAGTCTAACACATATAGGTGATAAAAGTATGGCCTTGGTCATCAAGGTAAAAATAGCTCGTAATATTAGTCTCTTGCTTTAACATTTTATTTTACATAAATGCAGTTTATAATCTCAGGGTATAGACAGTCAGACTGAGCTCAAGAATGACACAATTGCTAACCAGATTTATCCTTGCCTCTCTATATGGCTTACATAGAACAAGGGAATATTGGAAAGAACCAGCTGCTGCTTTGGGCCTTTAAACTGCAACCAAAGAAAAGGGACATCATCTTTATAGAAGTGAATTTTCTACAATTTAATCATGATATTTTGAGGCCCTTAATATATGCCAGTCATAATGAGATAATTGACAATGTGAAATAGGAAGAAAAGGGCTAAAGGTGTAGGGAAAGTGGGAAGGGTAGGGGAAAGGTAATAAGGGAAAAGAAAAAAATATGAGAAAATTAAAAAAATGGAAATAAAGTGTTTGTAAATGGGGAGGGGAGGAGGGGGTGAAGGGAGGGCAGGGACAAGGGGAAAAAATGAGAACCAAGACCTGTCATGTAAAGGTACAAGATCCCAATAATGAATGTAACTGTACTGTATACCTAAAATGTACCAATAAACTCAATTAAAAAAATATGCCAGTCACTCTCCCAAGCACTTTGCCTATATTAACTCATTCAATCTTCACTGTTGTATTTTGGATTTTTTGTTTTGTTTTGTTTTGGGATTTTTTGTTTTGTTTTGTTTTGCAGTACTGGGGATAGAACTCAGAACCTTGCGTTTGTAAGGCAGGCACAGTGCCACTGAGCTCTCAGTTTTCACTGTGGTAGCTTTGATGGGTTCTGTTATTACTTCCCATTTACAGATTAGGAAGAGTGTTTTTTTTCCTGTGTAATTTTGTTCACATAAATGTAGTGGGTTAAACATATAGTTATTTCTGCTCTTTTCCAAAACCGAAATGAAATATACCATAGGAATAAATTATAAACACAAAGAACAGATGCAGCATACATTTTTTGAATAGTAAGAGAATACTGTTATCAACTTGATGCCAGTATTTGAAAACTAAAGCATAATCGGCAGAAAAATATAATTTACCATAATTGACTCAGAAAGAAACAGAAAAATTAAATATATCATATAATTTATAGAAATTAAGTCAATTCTTAAAAATATTCTCCATATAAAACATTTAGCCAACATAGTTTGAGAGTTATGTTTTATCCAGCATGTTAAGAATTAGGTCATTTCTGTCCTAAACTGACTCAAATCTAGAACAAAAAAGGAGTAGCCCAAGTTTTCTTGCAATGTTTGTCAATCATGATATTCAGTCACAGAAAGAGACAATACAAGAAAAATTATCAATGTCACTCATTAATGTAGTCATAAAACCGTAAGCAAAATAGCAGATACACTTAAAAAGTCTTAATAGGTAAGTTGGATTGATTTTAGATATATGATTGATGATACTAGATCTATTAATATAGCTTACACGTTAATGTATTAAAACATAAAACTCATCTAGTCACCAATAAGTGCACAGCAAGCATGACCATATTCACAAATAGTAGACTCAATGTCTTGAATATGTCACTTCACTCCAGACTGATCTATAGATGGAATATAATTCCATTCACAGTCTCAGCAAGGCTTTACAAAGTACTTGTCATGCTGATTCTAAAATTAATTTGGAAAGCCAAAGGAAATCAAGACATACTTCAAGAAAAAGATTAGACTGTAGAAGCTTGCCTTACCAGACATCAGAACTTTTCATAAAGCTGTAATAATTAAGTTCTGCTAGTGCAGCAGAGATAGGCAGCTGATAGAGCCCCTAGAACCAGAACACATGTGTCTGGCTCTTGATAAGCAGTAGAGGAGGCACTGGACAGTCTGTGGGATATAGATGGTCATTTTAGTAATTGGCTATACATATGAAAAAGAAGACAATGTCTCTTTTACTCATGCACATGTGAAAAGCAAAATTTAAAAATCTTTAGAAGACAAAAATAAGTGAATAATTCTCTGTGATCTTGGAGTAAAATGTTTACTTAAAGTTGATTCAAATTATACATTGTATAAAAGAAAAGATTAAAGTTAATATTGTGAACTTGTGTTTATTAAATCAAAAGCCAAGACAAGATATTTGCTATATATAAAACATACAGAAGCCTAGTATCAGAAATATATTAATGCCACATTTAGAAAGCATAAGACTTATCAATGGAAAAATTTGACAAAACACATGAATTGGTATTTCATGCAAGAAATGAAAGTGGCTAAGTAACTATTTGGAAAAATGTTCAACCACAATAATTACAGAAACGCACATGTAAAACTACAGTGAACCTAGAATGGGTATACCTGTAATCTCAGCACTCTGGAAGGCTGAGGCAGGAGGAGCACAAGCTTGAACCCAGCCTAGGCAGCTTAGCAATGCAGAAGAACCTGTCTCAAAAAACAAACCCCCCAAAAAAAAACTTTAACAAAAAAACTGCAGATATAGCTCAGTGATCCTTAGTACCACCAAATAAAAATAAAGCTCAGTAGATTTATTTGCAAATATTAGGTGTCAGACAAAGGTAGTTGCTGCAAGTGTTGGACTCTGTCCTTATTGTTTACACTAAGTAAACTAATGAGTGTGGCCATGTTCAACAAAGCTTTATGTACAAAAAAAGGCAGCAGGCCACACTGAGCCTTTTTACATATTTTGCTGAACTCTGAGTTAGGAGGTAGATTGTACTATACTTGATGTTGGCCAAAAGGCTGAGAAGCAATTACTAGGAGGTAGATTGTAGATTCTTAGGTTTTCTTCCTCTAAAAGTTTTTTTATGATTTGCATTTTTATATGCATTTATGTAAAAATGTTTAATAAATTTTCAAAAGATGCTAGGTCCTTTTGATAGGCAAATTTAGACCATCAGAGATAGAGACAAAGTAGTTCTTATACAATGGTTAAGAGTCAAAATTACCCAAGATTTTGCCATTCTGCAAACCAAAAGAAAATGAACTGGTTTCTTGGGCTTCTATGTGAAAGTGAATTCTAACCTAGAATTCTATACCTATCTAATAGAAGCCCTCAGAAGAGACCCAGCACTTCTTACTACATCTGTCAACCTCCTGACTTCGTTTTTCTGAGCCCTGCCTGCCTTTTGTGGATGAACTTAGGTCCTCCCTAGGACCAATCACTCTGCTTATCCACTTGCCTTTGTTGTAAAGTATTTTTGTGACATTGTCATTAGCATATGGGGAGACAGCAGTGAACAAAATCCACAAAAGTCCCTGTCCATGAAGCCTGTATTCTAGT